AATGCAAACCGTGACTCGCACATGTTTAGTTTGGATTATATGATCTAATATTTCTGTTTATCAGGGCGTTGCGGCCGGGTGACCCGGGTTTCTGTGCTCGAGCTCGTGTGCCCATGCCCTCCAATAAGGATTACGTGGTTCGACCCAAGTGGAACGTGGATGTGGACTCAAACAGAGTGAGTGGGCGGGGCATGTGTGTGGGCGGGGCTTAACTCTAGAGGAATGATTGACAAGCGTCTCATGCTCAACTAAAGAGTGGGAGGAGTCTGCACAGGAAGCGTGAGGCAGGATCGAGAGAAACAATGATGCTTAGGTTTTTCTCCTCGTAAGCTGATTGGTGGAGGAGATTTTACTGTTGTGTGATTGGTAGAGGAGCTTTAGGAAGGGCGTCAGCCTGCTGGAGAAACACAAGCGGCGTTTTGTGGAGCAGAGGAAGCAGCGGCGGCCGCAGGGAGCCGTGAAAATCAGCATCGAGGGAAACCGAATGCCGCTGTAGTTACACGCTCCTGCCTGAGGGGGCAGTAAGTGTCTGCATGACCGTGCACAAAGCCCAACTAACACCAGTTAAAGTGGGTTTGGATGATTTCACCACAAATACAGAGCAAACGTGGTGTGCGTATGAGAGCATTTGAGTTTCTGTGACGGTCACATGACCATCCACTAAACTCCAGCGCTTCAGGCCTGTGTTCTTGACATGCTCATGCTGAATATATGTGTATATATAACAGCTACTGAGACAAACCAATAATAAAATCAAAATGCAATCATGCTCAAGAAGATGAGGTGTAATAGCAGCCCGGTGTGTTTTGGTGCAGCACTCACAAGAACTGGCTTGTGTTTGATTGTAGTAGTAGTAGTCATTTTTCTTTTTTCCTTATATTAGTTCATTTGGTTTTTGTTTTAATTGGCTTGTTTTTTGGTTTGTAGTTTCTATTTTTTTTCAAATGCACATTTTGACTTGACCTTTTTTAGTTTTTTTTTTCTTGTTTTAAATAAGTGCAAAAGTGCAATTTAACTGGCTTGTATTTGATTGTAGTAGTAGTTTCCCCCTTTTTAATGCATTTTTTACTTGATATTGCTTGTTTTGTTCATGAACAATTTTTTTATTTGCTTTCTGCTTATAGTAGTTTCCTTTTTTGTCTTTTAAGTAAATATATAAAATTGCCTAGTTTTTGATTGTAGTAGTATCCTTTTTAAAAGATGTGTTTTCAGTTGATTTTTTTCTAACTTTTAGTAGTTGTTTTTTTTTATTATTATTGGCTTGTTTTGGGTTTATTGAAGTAAAGTTTCTTTTATAAGTGCATATTTTTATTTGACTTGATTTAGCTTTCAGTAGTTTCTTGTGTATTTTTCTCAAATTTTTCTTTTGTAGTAGTAGTTTCCCCCTTTTTAATGCATTTTTTACTTGATATTGCTTGTTTTGTTCATGAACAATTTTTTTATTTGCTTTCTGCTTATAGTAGTTTCCTTTTTTGTCTTTTAAGTAAATATATAAAATTGCCTAGTTTTTGATTGTAGTAGTATCCTTTTTAAAAGATGTGTTTTCAGTTGATTTTTTCTAACTTTTAGTAGTTTTTTTTAATTATTATTGGCTTGTTTTGGGTTTATTGAAGTAAAGTTTCTTTTATAAGTGCATATTTTTATTTGACTTGATTTAGCTTTCAGTAGTTTCTTGTGTATTTTTCTCAAATTTTTCTTGGTAGTAATTTTTTTGAATTAGCTTCGTTTATAGTAGTTTTCAGTTTTTTTTGTTTTGTTTATATATTTTAAATGCCTTGTTTTTGGTTGTTTTAATAATATAAAGTTTTTCCCTTTTTAAAAGCATTTTTATAATTGACTTGATTTTGCATTTGTTTTTCATTTTTCCGTACTTTTTTTGTCGTATGTTCAATTTAAAAAAAAAACTTAAATTTTTTTTTTTCAGTTGATTTTGCTTGAAGTTCCTGTTTCTGTTAAAGTTGTTTTTTTTGTTACTTAATTTAGAATCTTGTGCTGTAATGTTTCGCCGTGTTGTGACTCTCTCTCTCTCTCTCGCTCGCTCGCTCGCTCGCTCTCGCTCTCTCTCGCTCGCTCACACTCTCTCTCGCTCTCTCTCTCTCTCTCTCTCTCTCTCTCTCTCTCTCTCTCGCGCTCAGGCTCCGCTGAAGAAGGGTTTGACGCGAGTAGATAAACAGATGCGGCGTTTCGCAGATATCAAGCGCTTGACGAAGACGGGGCACGCGGTGAAGATCAGCGTGGAGGGGAACCGCATGCCGCTCTGAGATCCAGTCTTTGATTCTCCTGCAGTTCTGAGTCAGATTCCCATAATGCCTTGTGTGTGTCTGTGCTGTAGCTGCGTCTGCTGTGTTCAGAGAGCTGCTCTGCCAATGTTTTGCCCCTTGGTTCTGATGTATCTATCTTTCATAATAAAGAGTTTCCATGTCCGACATTTTACTCCTGTTCTCCTGGCCTTTTGCTTTTTATTTGATTATTTTGTTATATTTGCATATATCATTTTAAAAAATGGTTTAGTTTGGTAATAGATGGTGGTCTGTTTCTATTTTAAAACTGTAACGTAATTTTATTCTGTAATAAGAACTGTTAATAATAATGATCAGTGGCTCATAAAGACCCTCTTACTCAAGACACCAGTCACCAATGATATTAGACAAAATCTTAGAAATATCACATGAATGAGGAATTTAGAATATTGAATATTTTCCAAATTGTAATAAATTTCCAACTTTAAAAAATCTTGACTGGTACTGTAGGAAATTCACTAAATATGTTGTGTACGGTGTAAACAGATATATGTGAAAGAAATTGTATCAATAAATAAAATTACATACACTGTGTTTTTCTGTCAATATGGGGTGCTGTGTGTACATTAATGAGGAAAAAAAATTAACTTAAATGATTTTAGCAAATGGCTGCAATATAACAAAGAGTGAAAAATTTAAGGGGGTCTGAATACTTTCCGTACCCACTGTATATAATATAAAAATTTTTTTTTCAAATGTAACATTTGAATGTATTTTTTAAATTGAAATGTATGGAGGGCAAAATAATTTTTTAATGCTTTCGAAAATAAATTGTAAATGATTTTCTAGAAAGAACTTATATAAAAATATATTTTTATATATGTAAATATATTTGGAAAAATATTTCTTGGCCATTTTTGTATATTTTGAAATATATTGAAAAAATATTTTTTTGTTTTTTCCCATATGTGTTACATTTACTGTAAATCATAATGGCATATGGAGGGTCAAAATTATATGTAATTATACATTGTATGGGTCAAAATGATTGATTTTTCTTTTATGCCAAAAATCATTAGGATATTAAGTAAAGATCATGTTCCATGAATATATTTTGTAAATTTCCTACTGTAAATTAAAACTGAATTTTTGATTAGTAATATGCATTGCTAAGAACTAGGATTGGGTATGACATCGGGGGGCGGGGTTAGGGGTGTGCCCGAAGCTTGAAACAAATAATGCGTTATACTGAGCCGGTGTGGACGCTAATATCGTTATCTTTATAGTTATTGTTCTTGGTGTGAACGGGGCTTAAAGGTGCTTGATATATATATTTTTTATTTTTTTTGCCATATTGGTTATGTTCACTGTAAATATAATGCAAAAAAACAATTTAGAAAAATTGACCCTTATGACTGGTTTTGTGCTCCAGGGTCACATTAATTTGCTTTAATTTTGTGAGTTTTCCCGCAGGAGACTACCATAAGATGTGTCCCGACAGAGACGAGCAGAAGATCGTGCTCCACCCTCACTTCCACGACTAGGGCCTGGTGTCAGGGCGGGGTCCACGGGCCTCCTGCGGCGCTCGTCCCGCTTCCTGAGGAAGGTGCTGCTGCCGGTGGCTGATCAGATGAGCTGCATCAACTCCACCGAGCACGTCATCACCAACAACATGTTCTGCTCCGGATACCTGCTGGAGGAGAGGGACGCCTGCGCAGGGGACAGCGGAGCACCTGGTTCCTGGCCGGCGTGGTGAGCTGGGGCGAGAGATGCGCCGCCGAGGGCAAGTACGGCGTTTACACCTGACTGGGAATCTACTTACCCTGGATACATGAGGAGATGATGAACGAGGAATCGGGACGCAGCCGGAGCCAATCAGCACTAATATATATATATATATACACACTAAAATATATATTAAAGATATATTTACATGAATATTTTCTACCAATATATTTTTTTGCAATTGTTTTGAAAATATAGTTTAAAAAATAAATGTATTTTTAAAGCATTTATATTTTGCTTTATATTTACAGTGAGCATAACCAATAAAAAAATTCTAATATATTAAGCACCTTTACAGTTAAATAAAAAAAAAGGATTTTCAAAAATAATTTTTACATTTATTTCAAAATAAACAAAACATATATGTGACCCTGGACCTCAAAAGCAGTCATAAGAGTAAATTTTTTGAAATTGAGATTTATGCATCATCTGACGTAATGTTACAAAAAATGCCTAATTTGAAAAAATCCTCTTCATCAGATAATCCTGATTTATTTTGTGATTAATTCGATTAATCAACACATCATGTAATTAATTAGAATAGAAAATTTAACCGATATATATATATATATATATATTAGTGCTGTCAACCGATTAATCACGATTAATCATCGCATCCCCAAAAAAAGTTTTGTTTCCATTAAATATGTATGTGTGCTGTGTATATTTATTATGTATGTATCAATACACACACATGCATGTATATATTTCAGAAACTTCATGGAACATGATCTTTACTTAATATCCTAATGATTTTTGGCATAAAAGAAAAATCAATAATTTTGACCCATACAATGTATTTTTGGCTATTGCTACAAATATGCCCCAGCGACTTAAGCCTGCTTTTGTGCTCCAGGGTCACATATATTTAAAGAAAAAAGACAAGCGAGATTTGGGCAAAAGAATGTTTTAATTCACATTATATTCTACAAGTAGTTACATTATTTACAGTATTTAAAAAAAACAACCAAACAAAGCAACAAATTAACAAAATGAACACTGAATGTGTTAATATCTCAAACATTTTCAGTAATCCTTCATATAACATAGAGGACAGTGCGCATCTACCTGTCTGAAAGCAGCACCTGACTGAAGTGGATACTCCATGATAAGAGCTACACTATGGATTAGACTCTATCTGTAGTGATTTAGAGGTAGACTACGGCTCTAGTCAGTAGTGTTGAATTAGGATTTTTAAGACAGATCAATGTAAGACTTTTCTCTCAAATAAAACTAAACTCAGCAGTCAAAAACGAAGGCCACAGTCACTTCACCGTCAAACACTGCGGCCGGATCTGATTGGAGAAAATCTGCTTCAAATCTCACATTTACAGTGGTGGCCAAAATGATTAGAACACTAGTATTTTCAGCAGCTAAAAAATGGCTTTAAGTGAGTTATTTCTATCTTTTGCTGTAGTGTGTCAGTAGGAAATATCAGTTTACATTTCCAAACATTCATTTTGCCATTAATTGTAATAATCCAGTGAGATTTTTGTGCTGCACACAGAGATCTGATCTGATCAGCATCAGTCTGTCTGAGATTACATGAAGAAACAGAACAAACTGAGACAGACTCAATCCAGAAGAACAACGTCTCCAAGATGCTTCAAGAAACCTCCTCACACCACACTGGGGAAGACGTGGCCTAATGGTTAGAGAGTCGGACTCGTAACCCAAAGGTTGTGGGTTCGAGTCTCGTACCAGCAGGGATTGTAGGTGGGGGGAGTGAATGTACAGCGCTCTCTCCCATCTTCAATACCACGACTGAGGTGCCCTTGAGCAAGGCACCGAACCCCCAACTGCTCCCCGGGCGCCGCAGCATAAATGGCTGCCCACTGCTCCGGGTGTGTGTTCACGGTGTGTGTGTGTTCACTGCTGTGTGTGTGCACTTTGGATGGGATAAATGCAGAGCACTTATCTATTTATGACATTATTTTTGACAGCATCCTCATTTTACAGCATTTTTACACAAGTGCCTAAAACTTTTAACAGTACTGTAGCTTTGCAGGAAGGTTTCTTGAGATCTTGGAGACGTTGCTCTCCGCAGTTCTTCTGGATTTAGGGCGTGTTCACATTTGGCATCTTTTTTGACAAGAAAAAGTTGACAAGAGCGCTTTTTTAGTAAAATAAAATCTTGGTTACAAATAGCAGCCGAGGGCTTCTTTTGTTGCTATAACAGCTGCAACAGAAACGTTAGCATAGTATGTGGTGCAGAAATGTCGAGAAATTTGGCTCTTGCATTGGCTTTTGAAGTTAATGGGGAAGAGAATGCCGGTTCACACCGGCATTTGTGGGTGCGCGACATTATATGGGGAAGGAAACAGTATAGTGCTTACAACAATTAAGTCCAGGAGCTCAGGTTGGATGATGCATATTGTTGTTGCAGCATATTTTAGACTAGATAGTTTTGTGCTCATATCATACAAGTCTTGTGCTCTGAAACTAGTACGATCTATCTACCGGTTATCTTCTCCATTTTTTCTTGTTGTTTTTGTTGTTATGGAAATGATTTGCTACTCCTTGTCATTGGTCAGCTGTCAAAAAGGCGCTTGACGTAGGGCGTTTTTTTCAGAAAAGTGTAACTTTTTTCAACTTGAAAAGACGCTCTGAGCTGCAGAAAAACACGCCGGCAGTGGCGTTTTTAAAAAGCGCTCAGGACTTTTTTTGAAAACACAGTTTATTTAGTTTCATATAATATTGAATTTATGGAATCAATTTTTATAGCAATTGAGGTTAATTAACACCATTTTATTTATTTAATGCAATAAATACAATTTACCTCATTTGATATAATAACGGTTTAATTCTGTTCTGTGTGGCTTGTCAAAAACACACACAGACTTATTTCCATATTCGTTGAGCTTTGATGATAATTAAATCATCCGCATAACAAATGCAAATGAATTTATTTTGCATTGCTCACATCTACATTTTATTTATATTAAAAAAATTGTTATTAAAAAGGTGTTTTTCCTTTGGGGACAACACTTTTCCGTCATTTAATAATAAACAAGAGGCCTGCTGTGAAACTGTGTCAGAGTAACTTCGTCGTCTGTGACGATCATCTCACAAAGGTCTCTTGAAGCATCTTGGACACAGTTCTTCTGGATTTAGTCTGTCTCAGTTTGTTCTGTTTCTTCGTGTCATTCCAGACAGACTGATGCTGATCAGATCAGATCTCTGTGTGCAGCACAAAAATCTCACTGGATTATTACAATTAATAGCAAAATGAATGTTTAGAAATCTAAACTGATATTTCCTACTGACACACTACAGCAAAAGATAGAAATAACTGACTTAAAACCATTTTTAGCTGCTGAAAATACTGGTGTTCTAATCATTTTGGCCTCTACTGTAACTCTTTGATTCCAGTGTTAGAAAGCAGTAAGCTGTATTCGAATCAAACGAAGCATCATGCACATTCAGATATCTTCTCTGGAAGAGGTGAAGGGGCTGAGAAATACGTGATTTTGGGGCTCTTACAACGAAGCCAGTTTTTTCAACTTAAAAAAAAAAGTAACAAGCAAACAGGCAATATGAAAAACAACGCAGGACGTTAATGGAGCAGTTTTAGTTGGCATCAGCTGAACTCGGTTATAAAAGAGTTTTGTGGCATCAGACGAGTGAACCGGCTCTGCTCTGCGCCGGCACCATGACGGGGACGGCACCCATGCGCTCCAGCGTGGCTTGGCTCACGGCGTACGAGTGTGTGTGCGTGTGCTGCTGTCCGAGCGTCACGGCTGGCGTCGCAGCGGCCGGCGGGCGGAGGCTCAGAGAGCCGTTACTGTGGGCCATGACGGGCGGAGAGGGGGCGGAGTTTGTGGTGACCACCAGAGTCTTGGGCGGCGGCTGGGTGTGGCTGCCGTTAGCGTACGGCGTGTTTCCGCTGCTGAAGGTCTGCCGCGTGTCGCCGTTGTAGCGCGTGTAGGAGTTGGTGTCGTAGTTGGGTTTGGGGTTGTGCCAGTAGCGGCTGTTGTAGGTGTTGGTGGACGTCAGCGTGTCGTTCTCTGAAGACGAGGCGTCCGCTTGGAACGCTTTGACCGATGAGGATCTCTTCGGAGGGAGATCGTCCTCCCTGTATGAGGTGGGATGGGAAGATTTCAATTCAGCAAAGATATTACATTTCCATACTCTTTAAAATGGGGGTCATGGGAAATTTCTGGGAAAAGTAGAAAAGTATGTTCTGCTGTAAAATATTTCTGCAAAATAAAAGCTAGCAGGGCAACATTCACAACAACGTTTTTTAAATGTTAACAAAACGTTTTAAAATGAATGTTTATGGAACTTTCTCATTATATTATTAATATTTGATACATGTTCTCATATTGTTGAGAGGAAACATTCTTGGAATATTATTCTTGTAATGTTCTCATGATGTACTTTATGAATGTTATAACGCTGAGAAAACGTTCTGAGGTCAACATTCTTGGAATGTTCTTATGAGCTTATTTGTATCTGATGAACATTCTAAAAACAATTTTTGTAACCTTTTTAAAGGAAACCTGTTTAAAAAATAAACATTCAAATAGCATTATATTTTGGGTAAAAATAAAATTATGAATTGTTAAATGAATTGAATAAAATTAAGAATGTTTAAAAACATTTTAGTCACCTTTCAATAACATTCTAATTGCAACCAAAAACCTGGACATTTTAACATCCTTAGAATATTAAAAATGAATGTTTAAGTAACAATATATTTGGGTGAATAGAAAGTTAGTAGAACGTTGTAAGAAATGTTTGTGTAACCTTTAAATAATGTTATAATCACACACACAAAAAAAACTGGACATTTCAATGTTCCCACAATGTTTTTATACCTGGTTAATCACCCAGGTATAATCAATAGTGTATAATCATCAATAGTGTGGACGCTAATATTGACCTTCCATGGAGTAAATCATTCTTTTGAGTCACTGAATCAATGAATCAGTCACACTCAGTTCATAAGTCAGCAAATGATTCCTCAGTGAATCATTCAGTAAATGTTCTTATTGTTATTGTTATCAGTTGAAATGCATCTGAGATCAAATAAAATATTAAACTTGAAAAAATTATAAGTGTTGCCTTGGCAAAATAACTCAAATAAAATATTAAATCGTCCTCCCTGTGTTGCTAATTTATATTCACATAAAGCTCAATAAATTCAGCATACAATTAGAATTTTAAAATGGGTTTTTCCAGGCCTGTTAAGGTCATGGGAAATGTCTGGGAATATACAATCGTCGAATTCTGCTTAAAAATATTTCTACATCTCAACCTTTCATAGAGCGAATGGTTCTTATGAGTCACTGAATGAATGAATCGTTTGATTCTGCTGATGCTGGTCTTGTTGAAGAGTCACCTGATCTCGTTGGGAATCTCCTCCTCCTCGTATTTGTTCTTGTTTCTCCAGTAGAAGAGCGTGACGAGCACCAGTAAAGAGCAGATGATGAGCGCCAGAATGCCAGTGGTGATGGTTCCTGCGATCAGACCGATGCTCTGAGGCTGCGCTGTCACACATCACAGACAGAGAGACGGCTGTGAGATCTCATGTGTCTCTAATCATGTTTAAAGAGACTGTGCAAAACCACACATTTCAACGCCATGATCGCTGTGTGATCTCCTTAAATCACTGTATGTAGGGTGCTATGATTTCCACAAAATTCCACGGATGGAATCACGGAATCCAGTCATAAAAATGGAATTCACGGTATGATGTGGAATGTTCGAATTTGGCTGATTTTGGAGGAACACATCAAAAGTAGGGCTGCACAAAAAATATCATAGGGCCCTAGAAATAGGATTTCAGACATGCTTTTTGATCGCTTAAATTAAATTCCATTGCGATATGTCTGTGAATAATAAACCACAAAATATTATTGTCAAAAAGAAACTCAAAGGTCTTCACTACAAGCCGTCAAAAAGTTCAGTTTAACTTAAAGAAACTGTGACAGAAATATATTACTATTATACAGTAGAATACACTTCTCAAAGTAATATTAATAAAAAATAAAATAATAATAATAATAGAATTATTAAAAGTTTATTTTCAAAGTAATATCACAATTTTTCTTCCGTTTTAATTTGAATGGTAAACCTCTTTTATGCAGCAATTTGTATGCCAAACAATTATTACATTTTTATTTGATTACATTTTAAAAAGTCATTAAGTTCATTTGTTTTATGCATTTATTTGATTACTATAGTTTTTTATAATAAATGTATATTGAATCATATATATATATATATATATATACAGTATATGATGAAATAAATAAAAATAACATATACAAATTAACCAAATAAAATAAAACAAAACAAAAAAAATCCAAGCAAATTTAAGTTTAATAGTTGGGTAATTATTGAGTAATTGTAAAAATGGTAATAAACTATTCAATTGCAAAATTTGCATGAATTCAATTGATTAGACATGCTTTTTGATTATTAAAATGTGATTAAACCAATTAAAAAATTCACATTAAAATGAAAAAAACAGAATATGTGAAATAATAAAACAGAATCTGTGGAAAAAATCAAATGAATGAGCATCAGTGGCTCCAGACTTACGAGCCACGACCTGCAGGTTGAGGACACAGGTGCTCTTTCCGATGGCGTTTGATGCCATGCACTGATACAGTCCAGATGTGCTGGTGCTGATGTTCCTCAGTGTGACCGTACCCTGCATCTGATCTGAGCAACACAAAACAACACACTACATCTCAATGACAGTAATATGATAACAGGTAACAGGGATCAAGAAACTGACAAAGCAAGAAAGTTTCCTGATGTGAAGATATATACAGATGACAATCAGAACATTAAATAAGCTGAGAAAATTACATATTGAACGGATTGTGCTTAAGTCATTTCAACCCATTAAGAAACAAAGTTTACATGACCTGACATGTTCTTGGCTTATTAAAATAAAGACTACTGTACTTTGTAGGATTGTGGATAAAATCACACTCAATAACATAACACAGACTCTATACTTAAAAAAAAAAATTAAATCATCAAATTAAATCATTTTGTTCTGGAAGAGTACAGAGTGATTTTGCAGTTAAACTAATGGCCTCTAGATGGCAGTATGATCGCAGTTTTGCACCACAACTGAATCCTGTTTGAGAAAGTAAAAATGTCTCTCACAGCTGTGAAAGCTTTTTGAGGCCAAAGCAGATTGATTTATTAAGCATAAAAATATAACAGCCGTCTTTAGAATAAGGCTACTGTACCGTTACCATCCACAGACATTCAACTTCTTTATCAGAAATAATAAAAAAGGTTGTTGTTTGTGCTTCCAACAGTTGGTCAAGGGTCTTTTCTGACCCACACAAATGCCCCAGAAATACAGTAAAAACAGTACAACTGTGAAATACCGTATTGGCCCGAATATAAGACGACCCTGATTATAAGACGACCACCCTTTTTCCAGATGTGCCTTTTGAAAAAAGTATGGTAAAAAGTATGGTAAAAACTGTTAAAATGTACCAACAATCACATTAAAAAAATATACACTTTTTGATATACCATAAAATAAAAAATAAAAAAACCGGTAGCCCATCTGAATTAGGACATTTAGGCTATCCATCTAATAGTAGCCTACCAAAATCTTATTAACAGTAGAAGTTCAATCTTACTGTAGTCTTCAAATCTGGGTACTGTCTTACGTTTTAAAATCACAAAGGGAGTTTGGTCCCATCAGGCTAACGTGACAGTCACGACTCATGCAGCTGTAAGCTTTTCTGCTTCTTTTGTTTTTACTCGCGATCTTTACAACACGCATTACATTACGTATTTCATGGCACACTCATTTTATGCGTATTTGGCGCCACCTATTGTTGTGGGTGTATTATTGACATGTCAAAGTCTAGACCCTGAATATAAGACTACCGCGTTTTTTCAGATGTATTTCCAAGAAAAAAACATCGTCTTATATTCGGGTCAATACGGTATTACTACTATTTAAAATATCTGTTTTCTATGTGAATATGTATTGAAACGCAATTAATTCCTGTGATCATTACTCCAGAAATCCTTCAGAAATCATTCTAATATGCTGATTTGCTGCTCAAGAAACATTTCTGATTATTATCAATGCTTTATATTTTTGTGGAAACTTTTTTATTCATTAAGGATGCATTAAATTTTCTATTTCAAATAAAAGCTGTTCTTTTGGACTTTCTATTCATCTGTGAATCTTGAAAAATAAAATTATCACAGTTTCCACAAAAATATCGGGCAGCACTATTGTTTTCAACATTGATAATAATCAGAAATGTTTCTTGAGCAGCAAATCAGCATATTAGAATGATTTCTGAAGATCATGTGACACTGAAGACTGGAGTAATGATGCTGGAAATTCAGCTTTGATCACAGAAATAAATTATAGTTTACTATATATTCACATAGAAAACAGTTCTTTTAAATGGTAAAAATATTTCACAATATTACAGTTTTTACTGTATTTCTAAACAAATAAATGCAGCCTTGGTGAACAGAAGATGCTTCTTTCAAATCTATAAACACATTGCAATGGCCAATTGTACTGTAAATAGAGTGCATTTTGATTCTGATGGATTCTGTAGCCGTGTTCTAAAGCGAGGCGTTCGGAGAGAGCGGGTCGGGTCACCTCACAGACACACACGGTGGACAGGGAAGGGCAAAGGTCACGCCACAGCAGGAGTCAAGAGCTGCGCATTTACCCGAGAACGTGGGGCAAAACGGCATTCCCACGGGCAGGGGTTTAGTACCTTGCATGGCATTGTGGGGCAGTTTGGGCACCGACTCCAGCTTCTCCCAAGCGTAGGTGGGCGTCGGGATGCCCTCGTCTGAACCACACAACAGCATCACATCACTGCCCACGTCCAGCGAACCCTGAATCCGACAGGACGGGATGGACGGAGGAACTGCAGTGCACAGAGACAATGAAGATCAGCTTCATACACATCAGCGGTCTAATAACCTGCAGAATAGCTTGTGTACTAGACTTCATGCCAAAAGTGTGGTCCTGTGAGACAATGTCAATGTTTGAAGGTCGCATAACAATGCCAACATGGCAGATGTAGTATGTTTGAATTGCATTCATATTACATACATGCATACTATATAGAACAGCGGTCGGGAACCTATGGCTCGATTGGCCAGATCTCTCACCCTTTACCAACAAATTATCTATTACAAAAATTAGACATCACTAGAGATCAGCAATTCCTTTGTTGACGTTTAAAAATAATAATAAATTTTTTTGTATAAACTGAAATAAAAACTGAAAATATAAAAGCCAATAAAAAAATTTTAAATTAAAAACTATAATAGTAAATAAGTAATACTGAAATAACAAATATTTAATAATAATAAATAATAAATTTAATAATAAATAAATAAATAAATGAAACCTAAATAGTAATTAATACTAAACTGACAAGTTCATAACAAAATTCCTAAAAATTAAACTGAAATAAAAACTGAAAATATAAAAGATAACTAAAAATATAAATAAAAAACTATAATAGCATATAAAAATAACACTGAAACCAAATTAAAAATAAATTAAACCTAAACACTAATATCTTTAAAAAACAAAAACAAATAAATGACAAAAGCACAATGCAAAATTACAAAAAAAAAATCAAAAATCAAAATATAAAAATAAAAGCTAATTCAAAACATAAATAAAATTATGATCATATATAAATATATGTATAAATATAATACATCAAAAATAACACTAAAACTGAATTAAAAATTAATTTAATATAAATAGTAAGATTTAAAAAACAATTAATTAATTGCTATGCCATACATTATTTTAGATTTTATATTAATGAATAATAGAGCTAAATAGATGATTTCGGAGTTGCATGTTTTTATCTCTCTCTTTTTTTCTCTTTTTCTTTATTTCCTTATCTCTCTTTTGTTAAATAGTTTTGCTTTTGTAAAAGAAAAATGATGCTTGTAATGTTATGTATACAATATGTTTTGTTTCACATATTATATCTGAAAATAAGACTATTAAAAACAATTAAACTAAAATTAAAACAAAAATTAAAAATATAAAAATAAAAGCTGATTCCAAATATAACTAAATTTATAATAGTAAATAAATATTAGTGCTGTCAAACTATTAATCGTGATTAATCACATCCAAAATAAAAGTTTTTGTTTACATAATATATGTATGTGTGCTGTGTATATTTATTATGTATATATAAATACACACATAAATCATATGAATATAAATATAGACGTAAATATTTTTAAAATATATACTGCATCTGTGTGTATTTATATATACATACTAAATATACACAGAACACACACATATATTATGCAAACAAAAACTTTTATTTTGTAGCAATAGCCAACAATACATTGTATGGGTCAAAATTATCCATTTTTCTTTTATGCCAAAAATCATTAGGATATTAAGTAAAGATCATGTTCCATGAAGATATTTTGTAAATTTCCTACCGTAAATATATAAAAACTTAATTTTTGATTAGTAATATGCATTGCTAAGAACTTCATTTGAACAACTTTAAAGATGATTTTCTAAATATTCAGATTTTTTTGCAAGCTCAGATTCCAGATTTTCAAATAGTTGTATCTCAGCCAGATATTGTCCGATCCTAACAAATAGCTTATTTATTCAGCTTTCAGATGATGCATAAATCCCAATTTAAAAAAATTGACCCTTATGACTGGTTTTGTGCTCCAGGGTCACAAATA